GTGGCAATTTGTAAACTACTCAGACCAATTATAAGTAATGTCGTTGAGTTGAATGACAAATAAACGCTGATCTCATCGCCCGGCGTCCCTAGGGCGTGACGGTGAACACATTACACTCGTCGAACTGGCCGGCCTCTCTCTTTCACCTCTTGAACCTGCAAGTTGACTCACATGACACCTCGGCGGGTTGGAATGAGGCTAGACAGGTCGGAGTGGCGTCGAACTCACTCAAGCGGGTCCCTTCGAGACGGTCGCACGTGACTCCGTCTGCCGGAGTCTCGGTTCTGCCCGATTCGGCGCTCTCGACAGGATCCGGATGTGGCACGGTGACTGATCCGACCCTCCTTTTGTCCAAACCTCTGCTCCCTGCCCGCGCGAAATCGGCCTGATGACGGGATGTAGAGGTAAGACGCCGGCTGCGTAGCCTCGACTACCTCACTAAGTCGGGTAGGAAGGAGGATCGTCCTGGTAACTCGTGACGGCCCATCATCGACCCACCACATGACGGATCACGTGAGAGTTAGGACATATTCACCCAAAGCGCCGCCACTGCTTGAACTGGCGCCCTCGAGCCGGCATTGAAGTGGCACTAGCGCTGCCGACACGTTGCGATTACTCACCGGGACCCCGGGGCCCGCACGCAGCAGGCATCGATTCGAACGCGCGCAAGCACCGAATACAAACGAGGAGGATCGATAAAGCCGGTCTGTCTGAGGCGGTCTGGCTTGGGTCTGGCCTCGGTCTGGCTGCAGGGCAGGGACGGTGCACACTTGCGCCACACACAGACAGTGTGGCAGTAGGTGATCGGGGGCGTAGCCACTATTGGCCCGCCTCGGGGCTTGCCGAGGGCCCAGCCTGCCGCTGATTGGTCCAGCTCGGGACGAGAGATCAGCTCAGTTCGGCTACCCCAACCGACGTGGAGAAGTGAGGCGAGGCGAGGCGAGGCGAGGCGAGGCGAAGCGAAGCGAGGCGGGGCGATGCGGAACGAAGCGGGTGGGACTAGCGCAGCACGCGACGCCGGCTGCTCCAATACGCGCTGAGCGGCGTCTAGGCCGACTCTGCAGGGCTGGCTGCGACGCTCGCGCCTCTGCTCTGTCCGTCGCGGCGGGACCAGCCGCCGCAAGTGTCGGTTCGCTCGATGGCCATTGGTCGCGCGTTCGCTTTAATCAGGCGATCCTGATTTCGCCCCAGTCCACCAATCAGAGGCCGCCATCTGCGTAACCGGTCTGGCTTCGCATAGCCGAAGCCCGTTCTACTTGGGCACGCTGCGCTTGTCCGCCCTCGCCTGCCTCAGGCGTTCTGGCTACGCCGGCAGAACCGAGCAGCCGTCAGACTGACACACACATATGCACACATACACGCATACTCACAGGCAGGCAGACGGGCCGGACGGGGGAAAGCGGAATGGCACGCGGTGAGTGAGCAGACTAGGCGTGCAGGTGTGCAACCCTGCTAGCGATAGCCAACGGGCCAGGAGGAAAGAGACCGACACACAGACAGACAGAAAGAGCGAGAGAGAGAGCGAGAGAGCGAGGAAGGATGCCAGGGTGTCCGTGAAATCCACCGGATCGGAATTGTGCGTAAAATTGCGGCTCTTTTTACGCATTCTCTTTCGAACTACCTGTTAGCCAACTCGGTAAGAGTCTTCAGTTGCCGTCCTTTCTCTTTATTCATTTTCCATGTCTTAAGCTTTTTGTCAATATTTTGTTTAACTTTTCATGCCGTTTTAAGCTTTCCTAAAATCGTCACGGTGTATTCCGTACTGCTTAGTTTCCAAGTTGTTGTGCCGAATAGGATGATGATGATCGGAATGCCGGCTATAGCTCGACCCCTCTTCCTCTGCCCTCAGCGATAACGACGTCGTCCTCAATCTGTTCGGTGGCCTTCGCGTCGGTCTCGAACTGCGTCGATGGGCTTGGGAGTGGTTGAAGGAGACCGGTGCTCCTCTTCCACCGAAGTGAGCCGTCCTCCGTTTGATGAGTTCAGCAGAAGCGCACCTCTTTTGAACCGGAGGCTGTTACACGGCGGCCCTCATTGTTGTTGGCGCCTTTTGAGCTGAGCCAAGTCAGACATAGTCTTACATGCATCTTCGGCGCCATGGCAGCCGAGTCGACAGGGTCAGTT